CACATTTGCTTATTCACCCGCTTTGTCTTTAGCGGTTGTGTTGGGAAGGTGAGCATCAGAGAATGCCAATTTAACAGAAGAAAGTATTCTTGCATTGAGGGAGACTTGAGTGGAGGCCCAATGTCCTTCTGCTACCTTAACACTAAACCTATAAATATATGCACATAGGTCCATTTCCCTATCCTCATATATAAATGTATTTGCATATGTACATGCCTTTATCTATACCTGTATAAATGCCCTTTGCTTCCCAGTTCTTTCCTCTATTTCCTTTGACTTTCCTCCTGTTCCACTATCATGCTCAGTCCCCACCAGCGTTTCAGCAATTCCTCTTTGTTACATTACCCTTGATCATGCCCTACCAGGCCTCCCACACCCTTCTCACCACCTACTTGGATCACTTGTTGTTCCCTTGTCCCTGGATTTGTTAATACCACTTCCTTCCCTCCACCCCCCCAAGAACTGTCGGTCCCACTGTTTTCTCCTCCCAATTGTTCATCCAACCTATCTTATTCAGACAGACCTGCGGAGATAATAACATGCACAAAAACAAGACAGAGCAAAGCCAAGCAACAATATACAACAAAAACAAACCACTGACAAAAAAACAAACAAAACAAAACACAACAAGAAAGAAAAGCTGGTCGTTAGTTCAAGGATCGTTTGTTGCCCTTTAGGAGTGTTTTCCAGTCCAGCCTGTTGGGGCACCATGCCCTGGCCCCAAAGTCCACCTTCAGCATTCCCTGGGGACCTTGCCGCTCCATTCCCTTGCTGTTCTGTTGCACCTTCCTAGTGTTTTGCCTCGGTGTGGTCCATGGTACTTTCAGTATTCTTCTACAGCACCTGAATTCAAAGGCCCCAATTCTTCTCAGTATTCCTTACTCAAAGTCCAACTTTTATATGCATATGAGGCAATGGAGAATATCATGGCTTGGGCCAGGTGCACCTAAGTCCTTAAAGTAACATCCAGGCTTTTCAATATTCTAAAGAGGTCTTGTGTAGTACATTTACTCAATACAACACATCTTTTAACTTTTGACTGTTGCTTCCATGAGCAGTGGTTGTAGATCCAAGCAAGACAAAATCCTTGGCCATTTCAATCTTTTCTCCTTTGATCATGATGCTACTTATTGGTCCAGTTGTGAGGATTCTTTTTTTTTTTTTTTACATTGAGTGCTAATCTATACTGAAGGCTACA